CTGGAGATCTCCGCCTCAGGTCCCCTCTAGTAACTAAAATACTCAACCTTTACTGTAACTAAGTATTTCTACTCTGTTCTCTATATCGGTACTTTTACTGAATATTTCTTCCATCGCTGCTAAGAAGATGCAAACTGTAAAAATGGCAAAAGCTCAGCTTCAAGTTTCACAAACTACAAAATGGCGTCCATCGAGCTTTCTAAGATTTCATCAGATGCCGCCGCCTGTGTGGTTACCATGGTTACGCGCCGTATCCATGGGGTCAACCAAATAAATCTTGCGTTCGAGAGATATTCTGGATGACAGGATGTGGGAGATTTTTATTTGATTTAAACGTTTTATTGAAGTTCCGGTTTAAAAGTTTTAGTTCAATTTATGTCGTAGGAAAAAAAAAAAAGTGATTTTAGCGAGTTTACGTCAACAGAATCCAAACAAGACTTCAACTCTGAGTTTTTATTAAATCTTGTTCATCTTACAAATCAGGTCCGACTTAAACACAGAAAATTTCACATTCTCCAGTAAAATAACAAACTGTAAAAATAAAATAAATCAGTTCAAGAGTCTTTTTCTTTTCTTTTCTTTTTTTTTTTTTAACAATAAACCCAAATTCCTTACAGTTTGTCTTCTATGTACAGCAAAATGCACAAACACAGGACAGAGATAAATCTGAAAACTGTCCTGCTGATTTGACAGTAAAGAAAAAAAACAAACCAAATGCACATATCGAAGTAATTGATCGTCGTCAATCGTTATTGCTTAAAGATGTGTCTGTTTCCTGCTGGAGCTGCTCCACGCTGAGGAGGAACGACGGAGGAGCCCTGTAGCGCATTCGCCACGAAAACAGCGCGGAAACACGAGTCTAGCCGTCTGCACAGTCCGAAGACACGATCCTGCGACGAAACGAGTTTAACAGAACATTCTTTAAACAGCATCTTTATGTCGTCATCACCTGGAAACGCCCCGAGTCCCTTCGCTTTCTAGTCTAACGTCCCAGAACAGCAGCAGGAGACCAACTATTTACAACACCTTTTCTTCTCCTCCCTGCTGCAAACAAAGCAAAATCTGCACGTTTGTACCTCAATAAACAGTAATTTACATGTTTAAACGTTGTGTAAGATGCGAGTGTAAACCTTAAGGCAGGATGTTTAAGGCACCTGTTGTTCTACGTGAAGGATGAAGAAGGTTCATTGATTTGCACGCTCCCGATTTACTGTTTGTGTTTCATTGTTAAGAACATTTCCTTTACGCCGAGCAGTCTGTATTTTATGCATCCTTGGTTGTTCTTCTAAGCTGTGCACACGTAAAGCTGAATTATCTCGTCACCAGTTGATTGTCAGCGACTGTTTTGCTCCTTTTATTCGCTTTTTCGATGGAAAAGCAGCGAAGCAACACAAACATTCTCAGATTTCAGCGTCTCCAGTCAGAGGATTTGCTGCTTTTCTTCATCACACAACAACGTAAACGGAACATTTTTAGGTTTAGGCTTTGCAAAGGGCCTAAAAGCTATGGTTTTTACATTTTACGGTCTAACTCCGACAAAAAGTAGTCGACTGATCAACTCTGCGTTTCCGTGTTTATATCGTAATATAAGCGTTGTAGCTTCCGGGTCGGTTGGTTCGTCGATGCTCGTCAATCTTTGGTGTTGTTTTTATGAAGACAAAAGTTCATCAACAACCTTCCGGGATTAATCCAGATTACCTGTGAACACCCCAAGACCTCGTGGAGACTTCGACATATTTAAGAAACGTTTGCTGGAGGTCGACTCCAAACCAGCCGACGTCAAAGAAGTCTTCAGTGTTTCTGCATTTTGTCCAAACTAACGGACGACAAGCGGAGTATAAACTCAGTAGGGAACAACCAGGTTACAACGGTTTAATATGCCGCAAACGCTAGATTTTTGTTATTTTATTTCGGCTAATAAGGCTGCAGGTAGAGAGAAGTTTTCTCCCGCTGTGACCAATAGAAGAGTCGATATCAGTCCACGATGTTCTTTGGTTCAGTGCAGCCCTTATATTAACTCCATCTATCTGCAGTGCTAGAAACACAGTGTTCACAAAGGCTAGTGTTAGCACGTAGCGATAGCTCATAGCGCTAGCAGCTACCGGCACTATCAGCCTCGCAAAATAAAACATTGTATGTCCGTGTTAGCACGCATGGTGGGCAGCAGTTCTCCTTCTAAATGAGAATTTATGTAAAAATAAATTCATTCATGTCGTTTCTCGAATTTTCAGCCTCACTGGTACCTACAACTAACATCTGGCGTCACCACATCTGGATCAGGAATGTATTATAAGAGGAGCGAACTGGAAATACAAAAATCCTGCACAATAACTACCGCAGATTAAGTCTTACACAAAAATGAGAATTCAAAATTTAGTTCAAGATCGTGGGTACGTATAAAACGGTGAAGAAAAACCCTCATGGAGTGTTAAAGCCCAACATTCACACTGTCCACTGTTTTCATTCTTCAGCGCACAGTGTTAGCTTTTAGCTGAATTTGAAAACTCAGACAGCGATTGTTGGAAACAGATGAATTTTGCATTTTTACAACATGATTTCTTTTCATGTCTTTTGTAAACTACGAACCAACAAGAAGCCAAAAAAACCCTCCTGCACCTGTAATTGGTCCTCGTGTGACAAAAGAGGCAGAATGGTTTTAAAAATCTCAAAGGAAAACCGTCTGAGCTCGATTTCCTGGAGGCATCATCAGAGCTGTGGAAGAAGACGAAGAGTTTGAGATGTAAAGAAGGTTTAAGTTCAGAAACACATCCTCTGAGCTGCTGGAGTCTTTTCTCCACGAGTTGTAATAAGTGCCAAAGTCAGATGTTCCGAGTTCTTCGGTCTAGTTGCTGCTCTTCAGCTCGAAGCGGCTGTAAATCTGCTTGGACTTCATCTTGTTGTACTGGTTTACCAGGTCCAGCTTGCTGTGGCCCAGCGTCATTCGCTTCTGGTCCTGCCGGTTCATGAAGGCGATCGGAGACAACGGTGACGGCGGCGGCGGGCTCTGCTGGCTCTCCGGTTCGGGCTGGGAGAGGTCCGGTCCTCCCCACGGCGACGGGCCGTGAGGGGACGGAGACCTGCGGAAGTTGAAGGCGTCTTTTTCTTTGGCGGGCGGCAGGAACATGTCTGACAGTTTGTTGAAGAGGTTCGGGGGAGTCCGCTGCTTGGAGTTGAGTTTGCTGTCCGGCGTCGGCGTCGGGTTCTTGGAGTTGAGGTTGGAGTTGGGGGCTCCGGGGATGTGACCGGCGTTGTGGTACATGCTCGGTTTGTGGTCGTACAAACCCAAAGCCTGGAACTTGGCCGAGGTTCCGCCGATGTTTGGCCTCATGACGTCCGCCGGGTTCGGCTTGTTCCACTCGATGCCCATCGCCTGACTGTAATTCGGCGACGGGCGGTCAGGAATCGGGCTGTGACTGGATCCATTAGCTGAGCCTCGGAGTCCGGACGTCGGGGTTTGTCCTCCGCTGCCTCTCCTCTCGGGACTCAGGTGCCCACCGCCGAGATCCTTCTTGTCGTGACCCTGAGTGACCTTGTAGACGTTGTTGGCGGTCATTCCGGGCGCCGCCTTCACGCTGGAGACGCTGTTGCTCGATTGGCTGCTGGAGTTTTCAGAGCAAACTCTGTCCCGCTGCCTGCAGACGGAGACAAACATCAGCACACCTACATCTGTATGTGTACAACTACAAACCTTCCTACAGTCTATCTGGACTTTATGCCTCTACTAGAGAACTGCTTTGGAACCGAGCAGGAGCAGGTGGTCAGAAAACAAACTAAACAATAATAATGCTTCTGTGTTCCAACCAGAAGGATGGAGTCAACAACTGAAACTGAAAACGAGATAAAAGTAGTTTTTTGGAACACAAAAGCATTATTTCTCAGTTGTTTGTGAAAAAAGTGTTGATGTACAACCGGCACAAATCTGCAACAGCTCTCCTCTGTTCTCCACCGTCCAAATTAACTCTCCTTCACAGTTAGAGCGCTTCTTCATGCACATATTAAACCAGATACTATTGAGAAATGATTAAATATCAGAGGTGTAGTGCTGTTTGGCACATAGAGACAACCATATAAAACCACAGTTTACCTACACTAGGGACCTATGACTGACAATCATCACAAATATCATGTAAAGACAGAAAAATCAACAAAACTCTACATAACGAAGGCTTGTGCAGGGTTTAGTCTCAACATCCGTCTTTTGTATTCTTACCTGTCAGACAGCAGATCCATGGTCAGACCCGGGCTGAGCCCCATGCCCATGGCGGGGCCCATCATGGCTGGGTACGATGGGTAATACGGCATCCCGTCCTCGTCCGGGTTGAAGAAGCAGTCGATGATCTGCGAGTCGGCGTACAGGCAGCGAAACTCCCGGTCGAAGCTGTCGGCGATGCGACCGGAGAAATGCATCACCATGTTGCTGTGCACTTGAGCTGACAGCCAGGTGAAACTGGAGGGACAAGAAAGAGACCATACCGACGTCAGAAATGGGCAAAGAGGCTCTCCTGTTGTCTTCATGTCAAAATCTAACGTTCGCCTTGAAAACCAAAGACCGACTCTGATGATTATTCAACGCACAACACGACAAATCTCATGTTTATTAAATGCATCACGGCAACGAGGCAAGTGAAACAGGAAGTCAAAGCTGTGCAGACTTTTCAGGTGTAAAACGAACATACTGACCTCCATGAACACCGGCTTTTGTCTCCGACCAATGAGTTCATGTCTTCTCAAAATATCATAAAACTGGAAGCTTGTCTTGTCATATTATCACCACATCAGGTTCTACTGATGTTAGAGCCTCTTAAGGTGGTGAAACGTGACCAGAGACTGGGTTCTAGTAGAAACATGGATCCATCCACACACATATATATATATATACTTAGAGGAACTTTCTGAGGCCTTAGTACCACCACTTTTTTTTGAAAAATGTGCACTTCCTACCATATTAAAGGCCAGTAATTAATCTCTGCTGGATCCATGAAATCCTTGTGATCTGCTGGAAACCATCATGTTTGTGTCCTCACCACATTTCATGGCTGTGGGAGTTAAATGTCTGAAGCTTTAAAAAGGCTTCACAGGTTAACTTTAGTGCTTTTTCATTTCAAATGAAACAAGGTGGGAGCAGAAAAAACGCAGATATATTTGGAAAAGCAATACACTTTCACACATATTATGAAATATTCTGCTGATGCTGTAATATTCAAATTCAGTCGAGTTTATTTAGCAAGTTTCTAAGCAACCTGAGTCGATTATAGAGCTGTGTGTTATTAATGCAACGACAAAAGACAGAAAACAGGATAGAAGTCGCAATAAAACACTAAAAAAGACGACAAACAGGAAAGCCTGTTGATGTCCGCACCACTGTAGCATTAAATGTCTTTTTGTGAATAAAACTTGTCCACAAAAGCAGCAGGATTTGGTTATATTAAATATGCAAATGCTGAAATGTAACCAACATGCAGCTCCTGATCGGCAGGCAGCGATCAATTTATTCTGTGTTTGGGAGTCAGGATAATGTTTTTCGTGTGCAGCAGGTTTTTTTTTTTTTTGCCAAACTGAAAAATTATGAAACACAAAATGAGGCTCAGACTTTTATCTGTGTGTAAATTATCTCCCTCCACCTCCAGCTGATAAATGCAGCGAGTATTTCCTGGATGCTGGTGAGTCATGGCGGTGACTCATCAGATTATCGGCCAGCAGCAGCGACAGGTGCACCGACACCGAGACGTCTGAGCTGCAGAAATGATGCCGAATGCCTGAACAGACACACTGGATTCCTGCAGGTTACATTCTGGGCTTTTACAGACATATTTAATACCACATAGGATGATTCCCAACCAGTTTTATTGATTTTTTTTTTATCAGTGTTGTCCTACATGAAGGTCAGCTGACTTCCAGTATCAGCCATCATAACCCAGAAGTGTTTATCTGATCTAATTATGTAAAATCAACGTCACTTCTCGTTTATCTATTTATCCATTGTTTAAGCTACCTATTTATTACTTTATTCCTACTCCTCTCATGACCTTAATAAACCATTTCATCTATTATGTAAGCATCGTATTGCTTTTGGCTAACCTCCATTATGGCAGCTATTTATTTATTTATGTTTTATATACCTACTATAGAATCTATTGGCCTACTTTTAACCATTTATTACTTTTAATTAACCATTAATCCATTCTTTTATGTAATTTGTTAGTTTAAGTTAAGCATTACTTTTAGCAGATTATTCTATCCACGACTTTGGAAAATATTATTTTTAGAAAACCAATGAGCCACTATTTTAGCTAATTATTAGCTTTAGCTAAGCATTATTTTTAGCTAAGCAACTGATACATTGTGTTAGCTAACTATTTATTACTTAGCTAACTATGAATAATATTTTAACAAATTATTCATTACTTTTAGCTGATTATTTAACTGTTATTTTCAGCTAACTTGTATATTATTATTTTAGCTACTCTTTACTTTGAGCTAACGATTGATTGACTTTTTTGTAGCAAACTGTATATTATGTTTAGCTAGGTATTGCTATTAGCTAACTTTGCATGCTATTATTTTAGCTAACTATTTAGTTCTTTTAGCTATAACTTATAGCTGATCAACTACTATAGCTTAGCATTTCTTACTTTTAGCTTAACGTTTAATCCATTATTTTAGCTAGCTATTTCTTACTTCTAAGTATGAATTTTAGCTAAACCATTTACTTCATTGTTTTAGCCAATTAGTTATTATTTTTAGCTAAGTATTGCTTTAGCTCACCTTTAATTTAATATTTTAGCTTATTAGTTATTACTTTTAGCTAAGTATCACTTTTAGCTGACCATGTTTTCAGCTTTCTGCATTCTAAAACCCCACAGCTGCTCATTCAGTTTCAGATATACTTGTTTTTTTATGTTTAAAATTCAGTCAGGGACAATAAATCAAATATTTTGAGGCTCCGCAAATAGGAACTACATTTTTAGTTGATTCCACTGTCTGTAAACATCACAGATATAACCTAAGATAACCTAAAAACAAACACCATCAGTCTAATAACTGTGCCTTGAAACGTTCACATAATACACATGCGACGAAGAACTGAGCGCACACATCGTTTTGTTTGTTGTCATTTTCCCCTTCAGGCCATTTCGCTGCATTTGCACAAACTTGTCTCGACAGCGTCTCCTCAGCAGGTGTTTTTCAGATCCAGTCGACCTCGGTTTAATTAATCCGCTGGAATTTGCAAAAACATCATAAAGAGCTTTACTGTGGTATAAATAACCTGCTGAATGTAAAGAGGTGTGAAGCGGCTGCAGACTGCTGAGCTGTGACAGCGGAGAACCTGCAGGACGGCTTTGCTCAGCTGTAAATCTGTCGGCGCCTCAGGTAGCTGCGACGCGATTCACCTGAAGTTAAATTCCAGGTATGTTCTGAGGAGGAACTGCTCACAGCACGCACGCCTTCCCCCGAATCGTAAAGTACGCTCGACTGTACTGTCATAAAGTTCACTGCTTTACTGTTCTGCATAACCAGGTTAACAAAGTTCTGTTATGGAAGTCATAGACCAGATAAACATGGATCATAACTTCCATAAACGGTCAGTCGTGTCGAGATCGACCTGGTTTCCTGGATTAATTAATATCTACTGAACATGACTTCACTCGGTTATGTTCTGAACAATAGCTGAACAGAAAGCATTCAGTCTGTTGTGCTTCACTTCACATGTTTCTGCAGTTAATTTACTTTAACCCACATGTAGCAAAATGAAAAACACATTTTGAACATTTATTAAAAGGTTTTACACACTATAAAGTAGCTGTAAGTTCATATGAAGTCATTTTAAGTGTTTCTTCATGGACAACATTTAAATATATACACTTAAAAGCACTAAAAGCACATAAACCCATGGAGACATGTAATTATACATCATAGTATTGTTTATCTGCTGGACTAAACTTTCATTCTCTAGCTGTTTAGTTTTATGTTTAGCTTTAAATTTATCTTACAGCACCGGAGTAACGGTTTTCATCACAACATCATAACATTTCTTTATAGTTTAACGCTTTTTGTGAAGCAATTTTTTCACTTTAATTTGAAAATCTTCAAATAATTACTGCTTGTTGATTGTGATTGTGATTGGTTGCTTTGGGTTAACTGGCTGTTTTTAGTTGGCTGAGGCTGGATGTTGGTTGGTTGGTTGGTTGGTGGGTTGGTTGGTTGGTGGGTTGGTTGGTTGGTGCTGATTACTGTTGGTTCATGTTTGTGGCTGGTTGATTGATGGACTTGGTTGCCATGGTTGGTTGTTTCTTGTTAACTGATTGTGGGTTGGTTGGATATTGTTGCTGATTGCTGGTTCTTGGTTGTTTCTTGACTTCTGGTTGGTTGGTGATTGTTAGTTGGTGGCAGACGTTTGGGATGATTGCTGCAGGTCTCTGTTGGTTGGTTGCTGTGGACTGTTTGGTTTGTGGTTATTTGATTGCTGTGGATTGATTGCTGGTTAGAACATTTCTGGTTGGCTGGTTAGTTAGTTGTTTTGGTCTTTGGGTTGGTTGGTTTCTGGTTGGCTGTCGGTTGGTTGTTAATTGATGACGTTGGTTAGTTTCTGGTCAGTGGCCTGTTGTTGGTGGGTTGTTGGCTGCTGTTTGGTTGGTTGAGGGTGGGTGAGTTGAACGGGTTGCGTTGCTGATTGCTCGTGGTTGGTTGGTTGATTTCTGACTGGCTGTTCGTTGGTTTCTATGTTGTTTTTGTGGTTGTTGATGATGGTCAGTGTTTGGTTGGTTGGTGGTGGTTGTTTGGTTGCTGTGGGCTGGTTGGTTGATTGTAGGGCGGTTATGTGGTTGGCTTTGGTTGTTTACTGCTGGGTGTTGGTGTTGGTTAGTTTTTTAATGGTTGATTGCTATCGTTTGGTTGTTGGTTGAACATTGTTTTTGATTGGTGGTTATTGGTTAGTTTCTGGTTGGCTGCTTGTTGGTTTCTAGTTTTGGTCATGTGGTCAGCGGTAGTTGCTGGTTGTTTGATTGTGAGCTGGTTAGCTGGTTGGGTGTTGCTGTTGATTGCTGGTTGTTGGTAGGTTGCCACATTCACCTTCCGTCAGCGACGTTACGAGTCACTTCTAATGTGCTGCTTTTTAAACGGGGAATGTGTTACATACAAAGTGAACGTAATGTGAGATACTATCTTAGTGAGAATACTGTTTCATGTTTCAGATTAACAGCTTAACTGTTGGAGGATCAGTGTTTGCTCTTTTCTTTTCAAATGAATCAATCAGCTGTAAATTTGTGGACTGAGGCGATCGCCGGGTATCAAAGTGTTTTCATAAGATTTAATCTCGGAGGAGGCGTAGGAGGGAGTGTGGCAGGAAGCCGTACTCAGGTGATAAGACCTGACGGAGCTGCTCTGGCACCTGTTCAGGCCTCACCTTCATTCCTGAGCCAGCCGCCTGTCAGCGGCTCGACCCAACCCTCCTACCTGCAGCGCACCTGAACCGCGCTTAATCCTCCCAACAACGCCGAACCATCGACGCCGAGCAGGCAAGCAGGGCAACGGTGCGCTTTTGGAGGGAAACCTGAACAAATGACACCTGAAACGTGCCACCAATGAGCTGCTGCTGGAAAATATCCTCCATTAAAATTCCGTCTCTTTATAAAGAACGGTAGAACAGGACGTAAATAAGAAGGTGACGGAACGCTGAAGAACTAAATGTATTTTGGCTCCAAGTCGTCTGTGTTTCTGAGCAGGCTGAGGCAGCTCAAGCTGGTTTACGTGTGAAGGAAAACAGCATTTTTAGTGAAGTCACCTTTATTTAAGACATTTAAAGCAACACCTGCAGCACCCAGCGAGCAGAACAACCTGACAGGTGTTCAGGATTTTACAGTTTATAGCTGCATACATGAAGTTTTGGCATTTGTCTGTAGTTTTCTGCTTTTCTGTGTAGAAGTTCTGCAGTCTGTTGCTTCTTTATGCATAGTTTTTATATTTTCTTTGCATGTTTAGCATTTCTTTGTAGTTTAATTTACATTTATCTGCATTTTCTTTTGCATTTCTTTGCATTTTTTGAATTTCTGTACAGTTTTTTTGTGCATTTTTGGCAGCTTTATAGTGACTTTGTAGTCATTTGCTTGTAGAATTCTGTAGACTTTTGCTTCTTTGCATTGTTTTTTGCATTTTTTTGGAGTTTAATTTACATTTCTTTGCAGTTTTCTTCATTTCTTGGTAGCTTTTTTTTATTTCTTGGTAGCTTTGTAGCCATTTTGTAGTCATTTGCTTGTCGTTGCCTGTTTCCTTTCTTGTTTAGTTCAACATGTTTTGTGTGTTTTGTATATTTCATTGTGTCTGTTTTGTAGATTTTCCACCTCTGTCCTCTTTTTGTGTCTCTTCAGCCTCGTTGCAGTGTGTTTGAGGGTCGTTACATTAAGTTAACTGACTCTTTACCTGCATGTTTAGACTTCTGACAGTCTCTAACTTTATATGACAAAGAGCGAAATGCGTCACCTTTCACCAGGACACTGATCAGAACCTTCACGTTCTGCTGTAAACTAAATCTAACGTTGTTCCTCCAGCGCTGAGCTCAGACGGTGTGAAGCCTGACGGTGTACAAACAGCAGGGAGGTGAATGAATCCAGCTCTCAGTTCTGCGTCTGGTCGACCTGTTGGGGCTGCGGCTCTAATTACAGGCTTCGTCGGGTAATTCCTCGCTGACAGTCGCTCTGCTGCACAACGTCAGCTTTGTTGTCCACACACACACACAAACTCATCGCGGCCTCTGAGCTGCTCTAATCTGCCGTCCGAGCTGCTTATCGGAGGGATGCAAAGCGACTGTCGGGCTGCAGCGTGCAGTCAGACGCCTGCTTTATGCTCATACGTGTTCGGCGACACGTGTTGTTACAGCAGCTTTACATTCCAGGCCTCAGCGGAGCTTCAAACAGCTGCTTTTTAAAGACAAACTCCAGCAGTTTAGTGTCCACGAAGCTGAAAATGGATCAGAACTCAAAACCACCGACATGCAGAGCGACTGTACAACTGGTTTATCAGCGTTATGCTGCCGAGAACAGCTTTTCTGCATTTGTTTGTAGCCATTTTGTCGTCATTTGCTCGTTTTTTGTGGGTTTTTTCATTTACTTGAACATTTCTCAGCAGTTTTTTTGCATTTCTTTACAGTCCTGTGCTTTTCTTTGCAGTTTCTTGCATTTCCTCGTCGTTTTTTTCTCCATTTGATGGCAGCCATTTTGTAGTTTTTCTGCATGTCCTCGGATTACATTTGTGGTCTTTTGTTTGTCTCTTTGCATCTTCTTGTAGTTTTTTCCCCTTTGTTTGTCGTCATTTTGTAGTTTTTATGCATTTCTATGGATCTTTGTAAGCGTTTTGTAATCATTTGCTTGCTTTTTGCATTTCCTTTTAGCTTACGTAGCATTTCCTTGTAGTTTTTCTGCATTTATGTGTAGCTTTGTTGTCGTCTTGTAGTCATTTGCTTGCTTTTTCAGTTTTTTTTCATTTCTGTGTAGTTTGCTATGACTTTTCTTAGCATTTTTTTTTCATTTCTTTACAGTTTCTTGCAGTTTTTCCAATTTGTTTGTAGTTTATGTGCATTTATTCAGATCTGATTTGTAGTCTTTAGCTAATTTTTGCAGTTCATTGTAGTTTTTGTGCATTTCTGTGTAGCTTTGTAGCCGTTTTGTAGTCATTTGCATTTCCTTCTAGCTTATTTTAGCATTTCCTTGTACTTTTTCTGCATTTGTTTGTCGTCATTTTGTAGTTTTTGTGCATTTATTCAGATCGTCTTTTTTATTTGTCATCTTTTGCTCGTTTTTGCATTTCTTTGCATTTCTTTGCGCTTTATTTTAGCTCATTCATGTCTGCCAGCAACTGGTGATAAATAAAGTTCATCAAGCTGCAGAATTTTACCAGAACTTAAGTTGCTGACTTCTACTTTAGGTACTGATCACCTCAGTTAGAAGGACTTCTTTCGATTTTAGTTCATCTTTTAAGTTCACGAACACGACTGCGTGAACAAACGTCGACGAACGCACGATGAGCAGAGTTTGTGTCTAACGACTGCTGCATGTGTCGGTTTCTCACCTGTACGATCCAGCGATGACCTCCTCACAGTCGATGATCATGAACTTCTCCAGGACCTGGCCGGTGAACTTCTTGCCGCTCTTGGTGCAGTAGGTGTCGCCGCAAACACTGCGAATACGCATGTTCTGCACACAGACACACAAAAGAGCACGTTTAGTGACTCCTCGTTATTACAGCAGCTCAGAGGACGTGAGCAGGAGAGGAACGAGTTACAGATGAAACAAAACAAGATCAAAACCAGGACAAAGATGAAAGTAGAACCAGTAAAGATAATGAAGACTGTTGACACTGCGTACACCTTTAACATGACATGACGGATCCCTGGAAGTGTACGACACATGCAGTGTGTCAGATTCAGTTATAAATTCAATCAACATCAAATCCTGGTCAATATAATTAAAAAAAGACTTTCTCATGTCCAGGGCAGCTGCTGAGAAGCATCCTCACGTCATGATGCTGCCACCACCGTGCTTCACAGTGGGGATGATGTGTTTAGTGTCTGCTGAACATAGCATCTAGTCTGATGGACAAAAAGCTCCATTCTGGTCTCCTCAGACTAGAGAACCTTCTTCCAGGTGACTTCAGAGTCTCCACATGTCTTCTGGTGAACTCTGGTCCAGATTTAATCTGAGCTTTTACCAACAGAGTCGTTCTCTTTGTCTCCCATAAAGCTTTGATGGTGAAGAACAGACAACAGTTGATGTATGAACAGTCTGAAGCTGGAAACTCCTTCAGAGGAGTTATAGATGTTTGGTTTCCACTAATTTCTTTTTTACATTTTAAAATCAAATCATAAGAATATATAAAACATAAACGACGAGTGTTTGTGGAGAGATTTAAACGCTGAGTGCTTCGGTGCCATTCTGACATCAGGGTCTGCCTCTAAACTCGTTTGTTGCTCATCATGTTGCCGACATCAGTCTGAGACGCCGACGTGCTCTCCTGTTGAAACATTCCTTCATCAGTCGGCTCTGCTGCCGCCTTTATCCTTTATTTTTCATTTTCCTCTGACATATCAGACGAGCAATTAAATTGACAAAAGGTTTCCTCCTCCATTTGTCAGCCAGAGATACGTTTAGACTTCAATGAGGTGAAGCTCTGTCAGAGGCTCGAGGCTCGTCTGTATGAAACCACTGACTGGTGCATTATTATTACATAACAATGAGCCAGTTATAAAACAGTAGATGTGTAGTAAAGGATAGTAAAACAGCACATATGTACTTATATATATAACGCCTCACAAAGTGTCGCAACAGTGACTTTTGAACACTGATCAGTTCACTGCCGAGTTCAAGTTTACAGAAATCCTGTCGACAGGAGACGCCGAGTTCAGCAGGACGGTTCAGACGACCTGAAAACATAAAACCTGTGACGGCGGCTGTCACAATAAATCATCTGCTCCAGAGCACACGGTTACATAACCTCTGATTTATTGGTGGCGTGTCGGGTCTCGCACCTTACAGGTAATCAGCTCCTGGAAACTGTCCTACAAATTAGATATTTATCTTTGCAGGTTCTTGGATTTCTTGGTGGTTCTTGGATTTCGTCGTAGCCAGTTTGTAGTTTTTCATCTTTTCTTTGTAGTTTTTTAGCCGTTGTGTCGTCTCTTGTTTGTGTTTTCTTTTTCTTTTTTCATGTCAGTGCAGTCTTACGCATTTCTCTACAGGTATTTTTAATTTCTTTCTATTTTTTTTTGCATTTCTTTATAGTCTTTTCCTTGTTTTTGCTTTTTTTTTTTTTGCACAGTAAATCAAGCTGCTCCAGAGCACACGGTTACATAACTTTCCAGGTTTATTGGCGATGTCTCGGGTCTCGTACTTCCCTACAAATGAGATGATATTTATCTGTGAATTACAAGATATTTCCCAGAGAGTTCCATTAAAATCCAAAGAAACTACATTATACGTCATGTGAGGACGTCAGTAACCACCAGAGAAAATGAGAAAGACTTTATTTACAGCAGAAATTAGTTAAAAATCTTTTAATAATCGCTGCTCAGTTTGAAACAGCTGCAAATGAAGCAGTTAAACCAACACGCAGCGAGTTTTCACTGAACCTAAAACATCATTTCATACTTTTTTCTTGTCAAATATCAAAGCAGACAAACGGTTTCTCAGTTTATTTGTACAATCAGCACCAAACTGCTTAAAAATATCAACTAAATTAGTGAAACTTAGTTAAAAATCTCTGAGAACAGCCGCTCAAAATCCTGAAGACTCCAGCGTAGCTTTACGTCTTTCTTGAGAAGCTCAGTTTATCAATTTAGGCGTCTTTTATTTAACCAAAAGCGTCCTTTTTATAGTTTATCTTTGTCAAACACAGAAAGCAGACAGCGACTAACGCTTTCCCACTTTTCTGTGAAATTACCGTCACATGAGTTCGGACTTTCTAGGAATTACCAGCTGTTTGCTTTCTGCATAAAGACATTATGCAGAAAGCTTCCAGGAAAACTCAGGAACGGTGAAGTCTAACGGATCTATTTGCTTTCTTTCAGTTAGAACTCGCCTGCAGGATTCAGCTGGTGCCTCCGAGAACATCGTAAATCCTGCAGATGAAACGCGACGAACCGGGCCGGTTTTAGAAAACCGGTTAAATAACGAGAGACAGCAGCAGATGATAACGTTCAGGCTTCTGTCGCACTCAGCTGTGACTTCTAGGAGTCGAGTGTTGAGACGTTTTACTGCTGAGGAGGCGAAACCCTGTTCGTGTGAATGTATGTGAAGGTTCTGTACAGACCCGACGGATCCATCGGGCCTCCCGTCTGAAACCAGACAAATTAAATTTGTATCTAGAATAACTTTATTGGAGTTTGACCTTCATACTGTGATATCTTCAGAGCTACAGGCCCTTGAAATACATCCAGGTTTTGCATTTTTTATTATTGTTTCTGAGCCTCAGAACTTCATCAGTGCAGCAGACGGACACTCGACACGTCAGGAGGATGTTTGTTGAGCTCAGGTTGTTATAACGGAAAGATCTGAGGAATTTAAAATATACTACGGTAAAACCGGAAATAAGTACAGAGAGAAAAACTACCTCTGTGAGTGAATTTATTTATTTTCAGAGACTCTCTCTTTAGGTTTGAAAGTTTCCCATAATGCAAAAAATAAAAAATAAAAATTCTCCTGAAAAGAAATACGTGTATTTTTTTTAACTACATAAAATTATTAATTGATTAAAAAATAATTTGTAAATTCTGTTTTGTTTTTTCATTTTTTTTCTGTATTTTTAAAATACACAAAAATATCAGTTAATTAAAAAAGAGAATTTACATGTAACCATTAAATGTTCTTGTTTTAGGGAGAATCACATTTTTAGACATAAAGATTGTTAAATGCATTTGCCAAATGATTGTAATTTCATAAATATGTTAAAAAATCTAATTGACAAAGTTGCTCAAATTTATGACTGTAAATGCATTTCTAGAACGAAGACACAATTAGATTTAATTAACGGTGAATAAAACGGTGCTGGTTCTGTACTTTTACACAGATTTGTTTGCTAAATGAGAGAAATCTTGTGTAATTACAGAAGTTTTCACAACAAAAATGTTGAATAAAGGCGTTTTTCATGAGTGGAAATATCAGAAACCACTTTTTCTTAAAAGAAAATTCAAAACACTCCTTTAAGCATCTATTAATGAGATTAATTTAACATCCTACATTAAATGAAATAAAAAATTAAGTTTGGAAAATGTATGTATCGTAGTTATTATTATCATGAAATGTTAATTTTCCATTATTTTGCTGTATTTTTTGGAATAATGTAGTTTTTCTGACACATGATAAAAAACAAAAACATTAGTTTTTGTCCAAATCAAAGTGGAAATGATGTGAATGATTGATCGGTTTTCTGCAGCATCATCAGTGGCAGCAACATGAAAACACATTCATGCGTTTTCTGCATCACCAGCTGACTGCACGGAGGCTCCTGCACAACACATGTGACGCTTGAGATACTTCAGACGTGTTAAAAACGCCGCCGGCCGGTTGTTTGCGGCGGCAGGTCGGTGCAGTCGGCCTGAACCCTGCACCGACCGTTCACCGTGCTGCTCTTACGCTGAGGTGGGAGTTCTGGATGTCCAGCGCCGAGCACATGTCGGTGAAGTAGCCGAGGTTCTTCTCGTCCAGCAGGATGTAGACGGGAACCCGCCGCTTGTTGGACGCCTCCATCAGGTCGCAGAGCAGGTCGACGTCGGTGAACACGTCCATCACCACGGCGATGACCTGCAGCCGAGAAGAGATGCAGCTTCACTCATCACATCAGAAAAGATAAACCTTGATTGTTCCAACAAGTTGGTCATTCACACTGGAACAGCAGCAACGGGGAAAGTGCAGACATTTGAGGAACATCAATACAAAAATAAAAAATAAACCAAATATATAAGTGCTAGTTGCACAGGCAGCACATATTCTAGTTCATGTACAGTAACAGATATTGCACAGGATTGGCTGATCGTCTGATTCTCGGGGCTGATATTCGCCGTTTTTCTGATTATTGCTGTTTTTGTTAGCGCTACTGTGGCTCTGATGATCTCTGCCTTCAGTCGCTCTGTTTTCTAAAACCCCCGTCGTGCCCACAGTGCCGTCTGTCTGGCTGTTAAACACCAGCAGATACTTAGGAAGTTGTAATAAAACACCACAATCTTACGCAAGCGCGCCCAGTTACCCTGTTACGCTGAAAACGCCTGAATAATTCACTAGTAGCTGCAGCCGGAACCTCTTCTGCTGATGGTGCTAAGCTAATGCTAAAAGGCTGACTGTCAGGCCTGTGGCTAGCGCTACCAGATTCTAGATCTTTTTAAAATCAGATTAACGTCAACCATGCGTTCTGATGAGCAACGATTGTTTACACAGAGAGACAGATGAGCACATTGGCGGAGCTGTGTTGGACAGTGAGGCAGCAGACGTTGCTAAAGGTTTCAACAGTGATACACAAGCTTTCCTGATGTTAAACAAAAAGACCCAAAGGTTCATTTTCAGGCGTTAACAAGTGGTGGGACTGATCCTGCTGACGGTGCCAGGCTAACGACAGTTGGCGCGCTGTAACCTCTTTGTAAAGTCAGATAACACTCAAATCAGGGCTTCACATAGCTAACGGTGACGCTAACAGCTAGCCGCTAAGTTAGCAGACAGCCATAGATTAAACAGACACAGAGTCTGGAAAGGAGATAATGAGTTAAAACATGGCCTCAGTGAGTAATGAAAGAGGTGGAAGATACATCCAGCGCGAAGAAACGTCTTTTAGTTAGTGCACAAAACGCAGAGTTTGCAGAGATTGTAAAAAAAAATGTGAAGCATCCATTTGTTTTTCCACAACACTTGGAAAAAAATGTTGAAAATGTCATAATATACAAATAAATTCAACTTTTTCCCTCCGTTCTCTCTCCTTCTGAAACATGAACCACAGTGAAGAAAAATGAGGAAAACCTGCAAAAATCTTTACAGAATTTGGTGCAAATAGTTGAATAATCAACAGTTCTTTGCGTTTTCACAGTTTCTTGCAGATAAATGGGGAAATCTGTTAAACTCGACATCGTTGGGGTTCAGGCGGTGAAGCTGCAGATAAACCGACTGTGTTGTAGCTGCAGATATCGACTATTTTGTCATTAATCTGTTTTAATACCTTACTAATTAATTGATTAGTTGATTGATCTTTAGAATATCTGTAAAAGTTCTTGACTTGTTTTGTTCACAACTTAAAGATGTTAAGTTTGGAGGACGAAAGAAACCAGAAAAAAAATCAGATTTCAGAAGATGCAATCAGAGAATTTGGACTTTCTGTCCTTAACAATCACTCAGAATAGCTGAAATTAACTTTATATTTGATAATTAATTCTGCTGTATCACGACCTTCTCGTCAGACAGCTCACAGACAGATTCATGTCTCTGTTAGTTTACAGACTCTTTGTGTTGTCGGTTGCTGGTTTTATGTGTAACAGCATCATTTTTACTATTTGTTGAAGCTAAATTCTCTGAATGAAGCTTCCAAACTCTCCTGTTTTTCCTTCTATAGTAAGAAATTTGCATCGTTTGTCGTGCACATAAACAAAACCTGTTTCAGGGACTCTGCTGCTGGACATTAAATCAAACACAGAGGTTGTTCTGGCTCCTGTACTTTACCAGCTCTGTGCGAAATTCAGCTTTTGTGTGAAAACGGAGGAAAATCTGACGTAACGCCGACATACAGCCAAGGTCTGTTTGGAAACGGAAAGAAATAAACGGTCAGGAAGCTGCAGGTCGGAGCTGCTGCCGTTCATTTATTCACTTTCAGTCAGATGAAGATCGTCTGAACCTCCTGACTGCACGGATTCAAAGACGTAAAGGCAAAATAGATTCTTGAGCAACTTCTGAACTGTTTCTAAAGAGATTTATTTGCGTTTATTTGCAGGTTTTTGTGTTTCCTACAAACAGAATCCTGTAATTTATTTTATCAGTAAATTACAGGAAATGTTTGGGATGCATCCAAACAGAGACGCTGTGATCGCTGCAGAGCATTTCCAGCCTGTTTCCCCTAAACGTTCACAATTTTGGAGCTTTATTTTGAAAGGTTAATGTTGTGGGACACTTCTGATTCCAATTTTTCATTTCCTGTGTAAGAACAGCCACAAAACTAAATTCAAATATAGTTTGTGACGTGAATTACCTGAATATTAATGATCATTTATTACATTACAGCCATGTTTTGTGTTGTTCAAAAACCAAATCAAAGACTTCAAATAAAAGAAAATCACAATTTGACTGATGGTAAAGCATCAAACGTGAAGATTGTCGATTTTTTACGGTCTATAAATTAAATAGTTGGAGGATTTTTGAACTGTTGATGAACTCTGATGGATCATATTTGATAAATAAGAAATATTTCAATCCATTAAATACACGTTGATCTAAAGTGAAAAAGTTCTCCTGGATGAACAGAACGAACCCCGAGGGGCCGCGACAGGTTTAATTACACATCTGTTCAATTTCCACAAGAAGATTTATGACTCAATAAATTGTTTTTAAAAAAAAGGAGTCTCTACAGGTGGATGGACCTGTTCTGAGGCCCCGAAGCCAAAACCGGCAGCAGTCGGAGCCTCAATGGCAATTTCATCACGTACAGATATTTCTCTGATTTCTTAACTGTCTAACTCGTAGATTAAAGCGACACAAAACAGCTACAAAGAGGCACAAAAAATGACCACAAAGTGATGCAAAAAGACCACAAAGACAAAGAAAACAGCCACAAAACGACACAAGACAACCACAAAGACATGAAACGGCTAAAAACTGAATACTTTGGAGGTTTTTGTTGGGAAAGCTGAGCTGAGGACACTTGACAGAGCAAATAACTGATCAATAAGTTCTATAAAACCCTCTGAGGATTAATCACTGAGGAGAATAATCACACTTCAGCTCATTTCTGTTCGTCAGCATGAACTCTATCATAGAATCAGAGTCAGATCCAAACAGCAACAGGTGATTCGTTTATCAATTAATCTTTAAATCATTGACAGTAAACAGTGAAGAACTTTTATTCTCACTGAGAGTCTGAAACACAAAGACAAAGAAAAGCTTCACGTGTTCACATCTGAGCAGCAGGAAACCAAAGATTTCACCGTCTTGCTTTAAATAACGACTGAAGTGATTCGATTACGTAATTATTTGCTGATTAATTCCAGCAGATTGAACCTGATGAACCAGAAACATCAGCTGACAGCAAACAGGCTCAGCTTTGGGTTCCACAGGTGAGTTACCTGCTGAACGCCTGAGAGTCCCCATAAATCCTTTAATTAGATCAAATAATAAGTTTCACCCGAGTCGGCCGGAGAGATGAGTCAACAGCAGGAACCTGACGGAACGGAACAGAACAACAGAACAAACAGGACGATCAGCTGATCGGAGGCTAAATCAGGAAACCAGGAGCAACGGTTCCTTCTGCTTTAAAGGTTCCTTCTACACTGTATTGCCAAAAGTATTCACTCATCCATCCAAATAATCGAAACCATGTGTTCCAATTACTTCCATCTCCACAGGTTTATAAATCAAGCACCGAGACATGCAGACTGTTTCTACAAACATCTGTGAAAGACTGGGTTGCTCTCAGGAGCGATTGGGAACGACAGCAGCTCATCCACAAGTGGTCATGGCCATGGAAACTGACAGAGCGGGGTGGGCGGATGCTGAGGCTCATAGGGAGCAGAGGTCACCAACTTTCTGCAGAGTCAGTCGCTACAGACCTCCAAACTTCATGTGGCCATCAGATCAGCTCAAGAACAGTGCATAGAGAGCTTCATTTCATGGAATGGGTTTCCATGGCAGAGCAGCTGCATCCAAGCCATACATCACCAAGGTCAATGCAAAGTGCCGGATGCAGTGGTGTAAGCACGCCACCACTGGACTCTAAAGCGGTGGAGACGCGTTCTCTGAAGTGATGAATCAAGCTTCTCCATCTGGCAATCTGATGGACCAGTCTGGGTTTGGCGGCTGCCAGGAGAACAGTTCTTGTCTGACTGCATTGTGCCAAGTGTAAAGTTTGGTGGAGGGGGATTATGGTGTGGGGTTGTTTTTCAGGAGCTGGGCTTGGTCCCTTAGGTCCAGAGAAAGGAACTCTGAATGCTTCAGCATACCAAGAGACTTTGGACAACTCCATGCTCCCAACTTTGTGGGGACAGTTTGGAGATGGCCCCTTCCTCTTCCAGCATGACTGTGCACCAGTGCACAAAGCAAGGACCATAAAGACATGGATGAGAGGGTTTGGTGTGGAAGAACTTGACTGTCCTGCACAGAGTCCTGACCTCAACCCAATAGAATACCTTTGGGATGAATTAGAGCAGAGACTGAGAGCCAGACCATCTGGTCCAACATCAGTGTGTGACCTCACAAATGAGCTTCTGGAAGAAATATCCCCATAAACACACTCCTGGACCTGGTGGACAGCCTTCCCAGAAGAGCTGAAGCTGTTCTAGCTGCAAAGGGTGGACCGACGTCATATTGAACCCTATGGATTAGGAATGGGACGTCACTTAAGCTCATATGTGAGTCAAGGCAGGTGAGCCAATACTTTTGGCAATATAGTGTAATTTAAAGGTTCCTTCTAATGTAAAGGTTCCTTCTACTGCATCAGGGCAGAACGCATGAAAAAATGCAACACAGGCTGCACGTCGACAGCTACTGATCAGCAGCAGAGAAGCTGGTAATGAAGCCACTAAATCTATGAAACAAGGCAGAACAGGAGGTCAGAGCCGATCTCTGAGACGCTCTG